TTCTCTAACTAAAAACTGAGATTTAATTTAATATTTATAAAGAATAATTCTCAGGTTTTGAACAATAAGCTTCTGAAAATAAAAAATGTCAGACCGACTTGGATCAGTAATAAAACAAAAAATACTGTCTGGAAATGCAAAATAATTTACTTTCAACTAGCCTCAACAAAGTTCATTTTTGGGTTCTTACTTGAGAATCATCCCAAAGGAAAATAAATACAAGATAAAAAAAAATGAATGATAGAATAAATTCTTAATATAATGAAAAGGACATAGCAAATACCACAGTAAGGTTCAGAATAGAGGATATTATACAAAGAAATTAGAAACTAATACAGACAGGTAAAAGTTTGAGTAACTGATTCATTTTCTATGGCTTAACAACCCTTTGCAGGTTATTTAAAGCCAGAATTTTTTTTTTTTTTTACAGATAATGATTTAGTGATACAAGGTTTACTAATTAACCCATAGCAGGGGGAGAAGGGGTAGATTCATGTTGTGGAGTTACCCCATTACTTTCCTAAAAAAACACACACACACAATACCAGGAGATGCTATTTAAGCCTATAAATAGGCAGTGACATTCTCTGTCATCCTCTTTTTTAGTCATGGATGGCAAGATATAAGTCGACTGAGGAAAATGATTCCCCACTGGTGAATGCCCATACACACACGTACGCAACTTTCACTTCATTTTCTCTAGGATTTTCAGCTACACCAAACTACACACACATACACACACTTCACTAGTTTAAATGTTTTTTTTATTCATGTGCATTGTTTTGTAACATGCAACAATATTCTATTGTCTACATATACCCTTGTTTTGTTAATACATATGTCATCGTCTGTGTGTGTATATATATATATATATATATATATATATATAGTTGTTACTTTGTATTTTATTACCCGTACTCACATTCAAGTCCACCATTTTTGTTTTACAATAAATATACCAGGAGATATATGTTTTCCAACTAAACACTTGACCATCATGCCCGCAACAATACCATTCCCAAGGGTATTTACACCCAGGTGAATATAACGAACCCAACTGAAATTAGAACTTCAGCCTCCATTTAACAATTCCAAACCATTATACCACCAGCACATCCAAGCTTACAGCACCTGGTATTCCCAAGCAGTCACCCATCTAGATAATGACCAGGCTCGACATTGCTTTTAGTGACTGTCCAAGAACCAGCATGTTAACATATGGCTTTAAGCCAATCAGATAAAAGAGGAAGAGCTCAATGAAAAATGTGCAGAAATAGAAAGATCATAACAGATATGCATAAAAGAATAAGAGAAATAACAGGAAAAAAGATATGCTCAGTAACAAGATGCATAAAATCAAAAGAGGGAATGCTGATAATAGAGAAAGAGAAATATTTCAAAGTTGGAATGATTACATCAGAGAACTCTTGTAGGAAAGCAGAAAACTTGCAATACACAAAAATATGGAAGGACCAGAAATATTAAAGTCTGAAGTGAAATTGCACCAACCAAACTGAACAGGAATAAAAGCAGGCCAAGATGGAATTGTAATAGAGATGTTGACAGCCTTAGATGATGTCAGCATTAACAAAACTATAGAAATAAATGATATATACACAGTCGTGATATAGTAGAAAATCTAAGTAGATCGATTTTTGTAGCACTGCATAAGAACCTAGGTTCAAACAAATGCAAACTCAGTTGGACAATCAGCCTAATGAACCACATAATAAAACTTCTGATCTGATTTCTGATGAATAGAGCACATAGCAGAATTAGACTTGAAACAGGACCAGAACAGTGTGGTTTCATTAAAAACACTGGAACAAGGAGTGCAATATTTATGCTTAGAATAGGGAAAATGGAAACAAAAAGGATACTTAAACTTAGAATCAGAAAGAGACAAAATTTCTAGAGCACATAATGAGGAAGAGGGTTTGGGGAATTTGGCATATTGAAGACAAAAGAAAGCAGTGAATAGCCTACTTTATGAGTTGGTGTAAATGGCAAAATAGGAATTAGGAGAGATAGCAAAAAGACAAAAGTTACTAAGAGTTACAAATGACAGGAAGTTGTGGAGAGCCATGATTGCCTACGTCCTGAAGGGACACGCACATAGATTTGAAGAAATAAAATTTCAACATCTACAAGTTAGGTTTAATTGGACGAAGCGTGGCCAACGTTTGAAAAGAAGCCAAAAATGTCATCTCATGCCGCAAGAATGAGAAAAAAAATGATTACATATTATACTCATTTATTTCGAATGAATGAATTTTTATATCCAAAGGAGTTCTTCAAATACGAGTTTCGCTTTCCTTTACTTGTGATAAAATAGAGGACTCGGCATTTGGTATGTAGGAATCATTTGAAACGCTGAAATAGACTACACACCCAAGTTTTCGATTGTGCAAGTAGTTAATCACCGAGCCGGCTTGCAATTTGAACTTGCGTTTGCTGTGCATTCAAAGAAGTGTCAATAAAAATTAAAAACTGTAAAATAAATTATACACTCCAATGCTGTTCTTTGCCAGAAAGCAAGTTTTATTTATTTAGCACTGAAGTGAAGATCTACAAACTTTTCAAAGATGTGGTTTCACACATTGGATTCTACAAAACCCAGGTTTTATTTTGTCACTTAGACATTTGGAAAAAAACAAAACAAAAAAAACAAAAAAAAAACAGTCTGTTTAATTATGGATGCAAGAAATTAATTACAAGGATAATTTCTGATTGGTATTATACGAAAGACTTAAATAAATAAGTTTAAACAGCTGTTGTTTAATAAAATTGTCATGTGTCACTTGGTTGGAACTCTCAGGAAAAATGATTGGGTGTTGATAAGAATACTAACATTAATTTTGCACCATTATCAGAATATTTTGAAATAATTATTATTTTTAATAACTCTACGAGAAAACACTATGTCGTTGAGTAGAGTGAAAGATCAAACATGATCTTAAATGGGTGTCAAGATTTATAAATCTACTCACTTGCTTCGAGCTGCTGTAGTGGCTGCCATTTTGATAAACTTTGACATTAAAACGAGGCTGCATTGGTCCTAATAGAGGTGAACAAAAAATGGCATTTATTTTTCTAAAAATGACTTTTTGATTTGTGACTCTCGAGCAAAATTTTAAAAATACACTATTAATTTCATTATCTATTTTGGGTTTATTCGACCTTTAACCTGCCAAAAGTCATTGTTGATAACTCTCCCAGCATTGGTAATCGTCACATGTTATTTTATGATTATGTTTATGATGATGTTGATGGATGGTTACGTAATGCAAAGTTATAGTAAAGTATGAAAGAGATAAAAGTCATAAAAGGTACTCCTGGTTTATTGAAATGAAGTGCAGTTTTTATGTAAAAAGATGAATAAATAACGGAAAATAATTTTGTATAAAAACTAAAAAAATACTACTCTTACCGTTTTATTTTTTTCTTAAAATACAATTGCTATGTTTATTAATTTATTATTGGTTCGTAAAAGTACACATTGCTTCAAGTACAAAAAACTAAAAAAAATGTAATTTTGAGACTTCCATTTCTACTGTTGATATATTTTTTTTACGCAAAATCAAAATAATTCATTATTTATTTACGTGATAGAAAAAGAAAATAATTATGAGGTAATTTACAAATTTTACATTAATTTAAATTTTAAAGCAAAAAACATTTTTTACATAAAGCTAAATAAATCCTAGTTTTTTAATGTTTTATTTCAGTTGGCAATGCGTTGTGATCATCACTTTGCCGTCAATTAGTCACCAATTTTCGAAGTATCCACTTTGTTTTCGTAAACATAAAAATGATTAAGTTTTTACTGTTCATGATCTCAAACAGAAAATTAATGTAATGAAAGTTTTTTTATGCTATCAAAGTCTAAATTTAAACAAAAGCAGTAAGTTTAAAAATAAATGCCATCCTTCCTTATTCGTTCAAGTTATTTTTCTGGGGAATAACAAATATTTTTTGCTTAATAAATATCGATTAGATAAAAAAAAAAGTGTTCTTTTTTTAAAGAGAGAAAATAAAAAAAAATCTAAGGACAAAGATAAGTTGAATTAAAAACAGAGTTGAAACAATTTTTGGTGGGTGGGTGGATGGTGGGTTCGAAATCGCAATGATAAATAGAGTGAAGAGGAAAAATAAATTGCAACAAGGAGGAAAAAAACAACAACGAGAAAGCAATGTTGGAGGATCCGTATCATTATTTATTTGTTTGCTTTTGCATTAAAAAAAAAAAAAAAAGCACACAAAACACGCGCTGGAAATCCAACTTTTATTTAAATTGTTTAAAATAACACACAAAGAAATATTTGGCTTTAAAAAGTAGTTAAACTGACTTAACAATTCATTGAACAACCTCAAGTCAAATAACTCATATTGCACCTGGCTGAGGTGATAGGATAAATAACTTTTTTTAACGGCAGAAAAAAATGTTGGGATAGAGAAAGATTGTGAACTAAGAAGAAGATAGGAAGGGTTATAAAATAAAAGAGGTGTGTCTTTAGGGCAATTGGGGCTAAAAAAAAAATTTAAAAAAAACACACACAAAAAAGGAGTGGTTTAACGACTTTTAAACGGTTAAGGAGGAATAACAAAAATAAACATTTATTAAACCAAAAAATAAACTGTAAACGGAGAACTGAAAAATAAAAAATGCAAATCCATGTCAACAACGAACAAATAATAAAAAGAAGGTGGGGAGCGAAGAACAAAAGACAACGAAGAAATGAAAGCGGGGAGGTGAAGAAAAGGAGGAGGAGGAGGAGGGGAAGAGGCTGGCCACGTGATCTCCTACGTCATTGGTGGGTGAAACTATAAAGTTCAGCTGGCAGCCGTCCTCGTCAGTAGACCTGACTTGGCGACGTACACACAGGGTACCGATAGTGGCCTGCAACTGCCCAGTTATGTTGAGTGCCTCTAAGGCAATTACTATAGACGAAAACTTTGGTCCGATACTAAAATCAGAAGAAGCCATGCCTTCAATACAGCGTAGTGATACGTAGGTATTTCTTTTTTGTACCTGTTTGCTATATTTACTCACGTAGGTAGCTTTTTATTTTTAACGTAAATATAGTTTTTTTTTTTTTTTTTTTTGCGCGTCAAGTAATAACTCCACATGTAGCAATTATTCCACTACTAATGTCCTGACTTTTTCTATTAATAGATCGATGCAAATAAAATAAACTCTTATACTTTAACGCTTACTCCACTTGCTGACTATAGTTTTTTTTTTTTTTTTTTTTTTTTTTTTGCATAAGACATGTCCATTTAAAAACTTGAATTAAAAAATAAACCAAAACTAGTCGTCTATTCTTCACCTTTCTCCCCTTACAGCTGACTAACTTACTTCTTTGCTAAAAGTAAGCTAACAAATTTGAAGCCTGACCTCTTCACATAGGCTAATGACTATTTTATTAGGACCTCCATTCTAGTTTCTCCTTAAAAATAATTTTTCTTTTAAGGAAGCTGCTAATGTCGAGGAGAAGCGATGAGCCATAGTTGTGACGTCAGTATCACTTAGGACTGAAATAGATGATCACTGATCAATAGTCACATTTTTACTTTTTTTTTTTTTTTTTCTCCTACCTTACACCTCCGAAATTTCTCAAACTTGCTCATTTGAAGCTATTCTTACTTTAGTAATCTTCCAACCTCAAGCAGAACTAATTTCCAGACCTTCAGCCTTGTTTCAAACCTCTCCCTCTACGTAATTTTCCACTGCTGCTTTTTAGTCGGTGATCAGTATCTTTTTGCTACTCCTGACATTCTGCTTCTATTAGTATTGTCTTGCAAACTTCTTATTTTATTTTATTTTATTTTACACCTGTACGGATATACTTATTTGCCGTTAAAACAAATATTTAGGAAATAATTAAACTAATCAGTATCTCTTTCACCTTTCCGTCATGGAGACAAAGGTGGTATTCATAATTTAATCTCTATAATTAATGGATTTTATATACGTAGGAGCAGTCAAATTTTCCCTTTAAAAGGGCTAACTTTACTCTCTCAGACCTAAAAATGCCATCCTTCTGTTAGGATTGAGTGTAGTGTTCAATAAATGGGGGTCCAAATTCAAATAAAAGTATGTCGAAACCTGCCCCCTCTTTTAATGAACGCATTCGTGTAACTCTGTAACTTTGCAGAATCTGTTAAAAATGTGATTAAAGAAAAACCTAATTGCTATTAAAAAAATTAAGAACTCGTTTTCGAACAGGTTCTCTTACATTCTGACTCTCTTCACTTAACTAATCTCCACCTGAGCATATTTTTATTTTGTAATCCGAACTTGTTTTAAAAATATTTCCTTATTTCTCTTTGGGTCCACCATTGATAGGAAAACAACTTTTGGATTGCTCTCTTCCCTGCTAACTAAAATTTAAAAGATCTTTGGTCTCTGAAAATTATTTAAGCTACTCTGCTAGATTTTTCTACTGTGGATTTTTCAGCTGAGTTTAGTTACTTAAAATATACATATACCCGGAAAAAATTTTTTTTTTTTTTTTTTTTTACAAGATACAAATATTCTTGCCTGACTGTTGTAAACAAAACAGTCGAACCCTCACACTGTCTCTCACCATAAATTGTATGTTCGGTAATTTTTCCCCTCTGAGCAAAGTCTCAACTTAGAACTAGTAGCATTTTTTTTTAATATTCAATATGCATACTATAGTGGACACTGGTTTCATGTTACTTTTTTTAACTATTAAAGATCCAATTGTGTGCAACTTCATCCTCTTCCTCCATGATGGCAGCTCTGTTATAGGTAGAGGAGTGGCGTTATATATATATATATATAATCGCACGCAGCAGTGTTGAAACTGCTACTAATTTTGTAACCTAACCAGCTGACTGTGCTTTTGCCTAAACAAATCAAAAGCCGTAACTATTTTTCTCTCGCTAGTCTTTGTAACTAATTGAGTTTTAAACTTATTACTTTAAACACTAACAGCTGTAGTTGACTGAACATGCGTAATTTTTCCCTTTGCTCAATTCTCTCTATATTAAAACTAAAAACGTTTATTTTAAAAAAAAAAAAAAAAAAAAAAATCCTTTCGACACGTATCTATCGTAGAGAACCTTCCGTGGTAGGAAAATAAATAAAATAAAAAGTAAAGTAACTATTGAAGTTACTTTACGTTCGGTAGATCCTAAAGTAATCTATATAGGTTAATTAACTTTCTATATACTACTTATCGGATAAGTATAAATACCATGTTTACTTTTATTTTCCAGACTGCTGATAATTACTTGTTCATCTGTTATTGTTTTTGTTCTAGCAGTCTTCCTTTTCTTAAGGACTGTACGTAGCCATTGAATAGAACGTTCAAAAAACTTCACTGGCTATCAGGTAGAACGCAATAAGTTTCTAATCTTAAAAATTATATTATAAACTAAATTATACGGGCTTCTTAGCATTGGTATCAATTTCTAAAATGAAATTGTAATATCTTTACTGTAACAAATACTTGTATCCTGAATTTATCCAAAATTTTGGGCGCACCAAAGATGGTATCTCGAGACCTAATATAAAAAGTGCAAAATTCCTTTGTTTAGTTGCGTACTTGAATTTGTAATTTTTTATTTTACTATTTAAGATGCATATGTAGGCAAAATTTATACTTTATTGTGCAATATTCGTAATGCAAAAAGCTATTGTTCTGACCCAAAACTGACACTAAATGAGTAGTTTGCAGCCTAACTACAATAATGTAAAGTTGTGTCCCCCCCGTTAAAAAAGATGCATCTTCAGAAATATACCTCAAATAAAACGGGATACTACTATATGCATTTTTTTCTTTACACTTTTAAAAAATGACTTATATATATATATATATATATATATATATATATATATATATATATATATATTGACCGAAAACAAACATTATTTTAAAATCGCACAATTGAATACATTGTATTTAAAATAAATCCTTTTTTCCTTAAAAGCCACAGCGTTTTTGTTGTTTTGCCTTTCATAAAAATCACTCTTTAAAAACGTCTCTCGGCCATAAACTGAAAATGTTTCCCCCCCCCGCCAACTTAACCTCTGTCTGGATTAATTATGCTCCAATAACATAGATGCTGTCGAAGGCTCGCAATATGTTGAAACTCAATATAAAAATTAAACTTCATTTAAAATTAACCTAGCGTCTTTCAATTTTTGAATGTTTTAAATAAACTTGTTACCTTGTATTACAAACACTTTGTCACAAGTAGTTTTCTAAAGTCTAAAAAACTATAAAAAAAAAAAAAAAAAACTCTGGCAAGGCGTTTCTATACTATTGGAAGACCCTTTGTACCTACCTTATTAAGGGCTCTCACTGGAATGGACCTATTTCGACCATCTTTCAAAATGTTAACAGTTAACATGTTATGTGTTCGTTGGTGGTATAGGAGTGCCCATACGGTCTCCTGGGGTTTTTCTTAAATTTTATTGCTTTGTTGAATTATCTATTTGCTGAAGACTTCCTTCATTAATCAATTACTTTTAACTGGAAATGTCTTCAGTTTTTGAATCTCAACACTTGGTTTCTAAAGTCTTTAATAAAAACTTAATACCACCTACTGAAAGTGTCTAGATGTTTTTTGTTTTTTTTTGTTTTGCGTGATAGATCTGTAAATCTTTACTCTTCTTTATCAAAGTGCTCAATTTAAGAACTCTGAATTTCAATGCTTAGAAATTCATATGCGCGCTACTTGGGATTAAATATGGAAAATTATCTCCCTTTATCTCTGTTCTAGCCTTATTGCTTTGTATAAAATATTCCATTGCTGCCGTATGCAACTCTTAGATTCTTAAGCTTTTTATTGTAAATGCATTTCTTATCCCATTGTTCACACACAGCTTTGATATACACTGAATGGCCGTAAGTTTCTACTTATGACTAATACTGATTTTCAAGGTCAAATAAGTGAATTTTTAAGTACATTATTCTAATTTGCAATTGCTTATGGTACTCTTCTTCCTGCACAATTTTCATGGACATTCTAATCCTGAAGTTTAACTTGTAAAAACAGTACTTCAATTTATTAAAAGCTTTGATCAGCTTTATCAAAGCTTTCTTTGCTTTGAAAGCAAATTTAATTACCTTATCTAATTCTAAAAGCTGTTAAGCTGTCTATAAAATGTATCTTGATACTAAATTTTTCTATATACAAATGTTTTAGCAACATCAAAGCAGTTCTTGAAGAAAAAATGCCATCTTTGTAGACAAATGTTAGTTTAAAAAAAACTACTTGTCTCTTAGTTGATTGAAGGGAAGTAACTGCTTGAAGGTTGTTACCTGTCTATATAGCTCAGTGCATCAAATCCTATTGCTTAAATCTTATGAGACCACTTCTAATTCATTCATTTTCATATGAATGAGCTAAGTATCCTTCAAGTTTATGCGAATTGAATATAAAAATTGATATACATTGGTACTTGTCACTTTCTCTGAGAAACATGCACATCAAATTTTCAAACTTGAGTAAAGTTTTAGACTCTGTGTAATCCTTGCACTTGGATAACTAGTATACTTTCAGCACTTATTTTCCAAGAAAAACCCACAAGGTAATGATAAACCTCTCCCAAAGATTTTGGTCATCCTTTAGATGGATCGGGTCAAGTGCTAATCTCCATATGGATAACATGGTAGAAAGCAAAACTTGTCAGTTATCAATTAATAGGTAATTGAACCAGTCAGGGATATGTCAATGCATTTTCTTTAGCCAGTTAAATGGGTAAGCTACTTGTGAAGCAACAATTGCTATCACTATTAAATGGCTTCCTTTAAAATGTAGTGCTTTAAAATAAGCTTCTATTTAGAAAATATTTTAACTTTCCACATTTTCTGAATTCCTGTCTGATCCTTAATCAGTCTTATTCAAAAGAATACTAAAGAACCTGCAGCAAAGTATGCATAGGCCTTAATTCATGAAGCTCAACACATCATAATTGGCTTTAGAATTTTGATAGGTTCCATATTAGTGTAAAGGACAAATGTAAATTTTAAGTCTTATAATTGGTGCTGGATTTTTTCAGTTGGTTATAAGGTGGGATTCAAAGCAAATGACAATTCCTTAAACAGACGCTATAGGCTGGTGCCACTAAATTGCTAAGAACTTTTTACCAAATAAATATTATCTGAGCTTCAGAAGTCTAATTCCCTGAAAATTGGAATAAATTTCAATAAATGTTGACTGTCTTAATGCCAAATGTTTCCTGTAGAGAAACTGTTGATTACACTTACTTTTTTTTTTTTTTTTTTTTTTTTTTGCCATGGAAGGATCTCTTATTTCCTGTGTGGTTTTTCAAAATTTTGAAATGATTGCTTGGCAATGACTCTTATGTAAGGATTTTCAGAGTTTTTCTTGCTGTGACTTGCCTTGAAACCATGAAAACTGTCAACTTGCTTGATGTGACCTGAGGTCTCTGTACACAAAAATTTTATTTGTTGTATTGATCTGCCTTTCTAGAATGAGCATACTTACAATGTGCCAACTAAATACAGTTTTAAAACTTTCAAATGAACTTCTTTTGATTGAGCTAAAGTATCCCTACTTTCAAGGCACTTCTATTTCTCAATAGAAATTTCTACTTGCCTGTAGATTTTCAAATACACTTGAATGAAAATCCTGAATAGCTACCAGTCTAATAAAACTGCCAAAATCAAATATGCAATTGATCAAGAATTAACAAATCTTAATCAAAAATTTCATGTGAATTTTTGTCAGGTGTTGTATGTTAGCATTAATTACACAACAAAATGAACTTCATTATAAACACTAATCTGACTGCTACTTTCTCTTAGGCTGGGCAAATACTTCCTGTAATCTCTTAATACTTATAATATATCTACCTTTTTAATGACTTTAAATTTAGGTGGCAAGTACAAGTTTAGAAAACTTTTTTTTTTTTTTTTTTTTTTTTCATTGATCAAACAGCATTTGAAAATGTCTTATGTCAAGCCATACTGTACAACAAATAACCATTATTCACAGAAATTCAGCCTTTCATTGTGCTCTTTATATCCCACTTAGATGAAACTTAATTTCTGTTCTTTATATCCTCTACCTTGATTGTTACAGTGTCCAATGGATCTTCCAGGATTAACTTAGTTTGCTCAAAATCTGTGCTTTTGCAAACTACTGTACATTTCCTTTTCATTCTGGAAACTTGTGTAAACTGATCTAAAATATTAAATGGTTCTTTAGTTTAAGCAAATGTCTACTTTTGTCTATATTTACTTGATATTTGTTTTTAGAATTTTCTAAAACTGCCTGAAAGTTTTTCAATGTGAGTGGCAGTTCCTTAAAGTTGACCTGATGGAGCCCATTCCTCTTTAAGCTAGTTTTGATTTCAATAGACTAATTGCTCAAGGCAAAGTCCAGTTGGTTCTGCTAATTAACCTATAACTAGAGAAAGATGGATTATAATGTTTATCTAATTTGCTCTTGCATTCTTTGTGATTTTCTAATGCTTCAATTTATTTTAACAGGATTAAATGTTAAACTTGTCAGGTCTTTAAAGAAAATTAAGCAGTTACAAGAGTTAACTCTTAAAATTTTCTGTATTGTACATATTGCTTTGAAATTATCAAACTGTCCAAATTTGTCCAATTTGGATTTATGTATTACTGTACTGTAAACTGCTTTAGTAAATACATTTTCCTTGTCTTCAGTGTTTCCATCTTAATTTGGGTCATGCTTTTTAAATCTCTATTGACTTGCCATTCTTTCCTGTTGACCTAATTAATGGGTGGCTCACAAAACTCAAGGCTAAAATCTTGGGCAGCAACTAGCATCTGGATCAATACTGGCTTTTTTTTTTTTTTTTTTTTTTTCTCCTTTTCTTTTAACTAAAAGGACATTTAGAGGCTACAAGTTCTAGCTTTTTTTTAATTTCAAACTTTATAAAAGTTTGATCTCCTGAGCCATCAAGTATAAGAATCTTTTGTGCCCTTGACAAACTTTGTTGGTGAAACTAATCCATAATCTCAAATTGAGCACTGCCACAATATACTGGCCATGTTTGGAAATTCTTTCAGTAACTTCTATGGTCTACTATAGCACTTGCTATCCACTTAATATTGGCTACAAATATTTGAAAAATCTCACACTTTAGGTGCTTGGAATCAATAAAATTTTAGGCAATTTTTAGATGTGTAAAAGAATTTGTACACAGAAGCAAGACTGAACAAAAGTACCTTGTCAGTATTGTTCTTTGAAACTTCAAAAAAGGGTAGTTGTGTATTTGGACAGTACTACATAAAATGACTTGTTGGGTCTTGCTGGTACAGTTCCTAAATTCTACCTTATCTCAACTTTATAGAAAACTAATTACTGTATTTGCCTTTGCATAACTTACCTTGCAGAAGATGTCAGACCCCAATTGTACGAGGAAAAGAAACTTAGGTTTTATATCTATCAAAATATTTTAATGTGGATTTGTTGTGGATGGGTGAATGCCAATACAATATTGTAATTTTTAACCTTCAAAGAAACTATTAAATTTGCCAAAACAAAAATGCTGGTACATTTTATATTGAGTACTAGTACATGTAAACAAAGCAAACTAATATAAAGCAATTGGTACAAAGTATAAAATCTGTAATTTGGCTTATTTTCAATAACTTATTACTGGAAACAATTTTTATGCCTAGTGGACACTCTCATCTGGGGCCATAGCCTACTGATACAGAACTGTTCTCGCATTGATAATAGGCTCTATTAGGTATAGTCCAGTCTTCTGGCACATTTAAAAATTAAAGAAAATACATTTTATATATATATATATATATATATATATATATATATATATATATATATATATATATATATATATATATATATATACATCATTTAACCTATTTCTAATCTTATATTTTATATCTTGACTAATCATTTCTTATCTTTTTTCTTGACTAATATTTCTTATCTTTTTCAGGTGGGAGGCCGAGAGATACTGTATATCTCTCGGTAGCGGGCCTCGGTGGTGTTCCTGACGCCCCCCACGCCGTCATGTCAGAAGTGGCAGAGGGCAGCGGTGTGGGGATCATAAAAGAGCCCACTGTCAATGCCAAAAGCTCATATTTTGGGCACCTAAGGGGTTTGGCAAAAGCTCAAGTTGCCTCGAACTTGTGCTTCAAGGTGGAAGTTGTTGAAGGTCTAGAGGTTACCTGGGAGACTATGCTTGTTGACGGAAAACTCTTTGTGGAAATTCCCTCAGGGATACTGCCAGAAGGCTCTAAAGAAGGGTGAGTGACAATCTGAAAGATGTATGAAGTCTTGATACTACAGTTAATACTTCAAATGCAGTTAATATAAAAACTTCATGTTTAGTCTGTCCTGTTCAGTTTCAAATGTTTATACCAATTTGACTTAAACATTCTATCTTACTAGTTCTTGATAGCTAGTATAGTATCCAATTGGTGTCAATTTTCAATAATATCTGAAACTATTAGAATACTTTATCCACCTTGAATTTATCTGCTCAACTGGTCTGGTAATCTGTATATTAAAATGTGGATCAGGACACTTAATGAATAATGCTTCTCTCTGCAGCAATACTCAGATCTTAGGCACAATTACTCATCTAAACAGTTTAACTGATGTCAGTGTGGCTTAACTTTTGAGCATTCATCCTGTCCCCATCTATATTGTCATATAACTAGATCATAAATAATGCAAGTCATGCAAACAGTAAGGCTTTAAAAAATATTAACAGGGTGGGTTTGAGAATATTGAATGCTAAAGGACTAAAACTTGACAAATTTTTGTACTATTAAAGAATCTACCAATTTAACTAATTTATTTGCCCTAAAATGTCTTAGACCTAAGCCTAAAATAATTAGGCAATTTAAGTACTGATCTGTACATAAAGTTAAGTAACCCAAGAATTCCATAAAATTGTAAGTTTATATGAAAATTAATATTTCACAAAATATTAAGTAATTTCTAATGTTTAATCTTGGACAAATCCCAATAAAGAGATGGTATAGGTTATTAGATTAATTGTTCCTGGTCATGTCTTCACTTTCTATCTCTCCAGGCTGGTTACTTTGCTGGAATTTGCTGAAGAAAAGCTTCAGTGCAAGAATGTCATTATCTTTTTCCGAAGAGACCGAAACAACAGAAGTAAGTTGTTTAAATCTTAACCAGTTAACTTTTGAATTGAGTATTTTACCCAGTGTTAAGATGTGTACTTGATAATATATGGATATAAAAGTACTTTATTTGACATTGTTAAATTTAAATGTTACTAATTGCCTTTTTAATATTGCCAGTTTGAGCTGAGTGGCTACAATATTAGTGCTCTGATCATGACTCTGGTTTGAACTTAACCATGATTGGCTGGTCAAGGAGGCAGACTTCTGGAGACTGTCCCCCAGCATGCAGCATTACCAAAATGTTGTCAAACTATGCAATGGGTTGACTCTGTCACTGAAATTGAGTTGATGCAACTGTTTGCACAAAGTTGCAAGTCATTGTGGCTGAGCATTTCATTATGCTCTCTCTCCACAAAAACCCTGGTCTGCTCAGAATTACAATATAAGCCAAAGGATGTGTTTTTTTTTTTTTTTTTTTTTTTTTTTTTTTTTTTTTTTTGCTTAGCCCACCTGGATGGATCTCTTACAAGCTGTGCTTATAAATTATGCATAAAAACAATGTTCAGAACTATCTAAAACAAAAATAAGTGTCGTTTATGCTGATTGAATATCTTCATTTAATATATTATATATAATCTTATATACTAACCTCTTTTGAAGCTTAAATTTTATTAGGACTCTAATAAACTTTTTTTTTTTTTTTCTTCAGGTTCTCTCATAAAGACTTTCATGTTCTTGGGTTTTGAAGTAGTTTCTCCTGGTAACTCTTTGGTTCCCAACATTGGTGATCTGATCTTCATGGCTTACACCATTGCTGATGATAACGACCTCTCAGACTGAATGACCCCTTGAAACTAGGCTCATTGTTTGGCATCAGGGATGTTTTCTAAAATTAGATTTTAGTAATTGTATATCTGAAAGTTAACTTTGTAGGAATAATTCTCCAGTTTTGTTTTTATTAGAAAATTTCATTTTTTACTCTTTATTAGATGTCTTACTTTTTTTGCATGTAAGTTTTTTAGTGTTTGACATGTTTCTTGCTAATTTTAAGTCCTTTTCTTTTCTGGAGAAATGTTATTTAAGCCAGATGGTTAAGCAATCCTTTTTTCAAGGGGTAACTGGAAACAAAAGCGCCTCTGCTACTTGTAACATGTTCATCATAAAAATAAAAAAAAATAATAAAAAAAATAAAAAAAACCAATCATTACTGTTAACTTATGAGAGCACAAACATTTTACCCTTTTTTTTTTTTTTTTTTTTTTCTCCTCCTCCATTTACATCTGGACCCTCTGCCCAACATGAATTGGATTGTACAACTGATCCTGTGGATTTTAGATTTCTCTATTTACAATCATTTTGACTCCTCTTAAACTTCAAATTCATTTCTAGATGGTGACTGTAAACTTATCCTAAAAATAAACTTTTCAAAAACAATATTAAAATCTTGAGTAAAAAAAAAAAAAAGTCTTCTCTTCATCTCAAGACTGGCATGAGGCCTGATCAGCACTTACAAATTTTGTACCCTTATTTCACTCTTACAAATTTAAGTTTCTTTTCATATAATTTATCAAGTTCACTTAATGAGGGTAAGTCAAAATTTGTAAATGCTGACTTTTGCCCAGGCTTTTCATATTTCTCGACCTAATGCTATTTGCATGGTGTGTATAAATGACTAACAAATAGAAAAAGCCAGTGAAGCCCTTCTTCTTTTCTTTCTTTCTGCTAAGGAGTGCTTAAGATAAAAACTTCATTGCTCTGGTATATTCTAAATATATTTACATCCTGAAATTGGAGGATAAGGATCTCTTCCTCTTAATGGGTCATTCAAACTTTTGAGGAAAGCAAGACCATTTTGTACTCTGATATCTTTTTGGTATTTTAACAAAATAGTTAAATTGCTCAGTTTTTATTTTAACCTGCACAAAAACATTAGTTTCTCACATCAGGGGATATATATTTCTAGTTCAGAATATAAACAGATTTTTCAAAAGCCTCTCAAAGTATACAAAGCCAGTATCTAATTCGAGAGATAAAATTAGTTGAAAGATTGAATCTACAACTGGTACTTGTATTGTGTAAATCTTTTCCTTCTAACCTCTTAATACTAAGGCAGATAATGATCAGGAATGTACAAATGATTAACATTTTTTCCTCCTTTTGGAAAAGTACCAAGCTCATTATGGTGTTACAGAATTTATTTAAAGTTCATCAAACTGACCTCCAGAATCCATTTAGAAATTTAACTGTTTAAACAGTACTTACAATGTGCTCATAAGTTTTTAAAGCTTTTTAATTTTATGGAATAAAGTTTCCCTGGCATCCAAACTTATTTGTCTTCTCTTTCTATTTCTTAAAATTACTTGGGCATAACTATTTTCTTTCCCTCTTCGATTTGAAGGGAACAAAAATTTCTTCTAAATCTGTTAATGTGCATTTGTTTCAATTGGTTAGCAAAGATTTCCTCTTGACTGATTATGGGCTAAACATTCTTTCACTTAAGTGAAAAATAACATTTTACTCTTGGGTTTTTTTTTCTTTTTTTTTTTTTTTTTTAACTTGTTACTTATTGCAGTTTTTTCTTAGTGACTGAAAGCAAATGTAACTTTGCTACACATTTGCAGTGAGTGCTTAACATTGTTACCTGGCTATGCTGGCCTGTTCTGGAGGGGAATAGGAAGTTGGCATTTACTGAAAGTGATCATGAAGTTGGTAATTTCTTGTGGGCACCACCATTTTTGTTTTGATAAGATTGTTCAGTAGTACAAAGCTAGACCAGAGCCCCACAAAATACAAAGTAGTAAAAAGCATTACTTTATCACAAATGGTAGGGACCAATATTCCTAAGTATCTTGAAAAATTGAATGTTAACAGAACATTAACTTTCATGTTAATTCAATAGATTAATAACATCTGCAATTGAGCAGAACGATTTGATTTCTAAAATCACTTCAACTTTTAATGAAACTACTAGGCTATATACAGTATATAGCCTAATTTTAATCTCAAATTAAAATTTTCTTATTCAGCTACAACATTGACTGTCACAGATCACAAGATAAGGGATAACCACTTGTAAAAGTGTAACCCATTTACCTTTACTCTTTGATACCATGTTATGTCCCTGAAATTAGACGCCTCAAAAGTTCTAGTCCAAGGTTTGCTGAATTGTGGTTTGAGGGTTTGGTGTCTGGTAAAAGAACCAAGACCAGTGACAGGATGTTGCATGCAGTAAATGAGCTTTCTCAAAATCATAAATGGTGGTGGGGGGGAAAGTCCTGTTAGCTTGCCAACAGAAACTGATTAATAATAAACACAAAGCAACTTTTGTTTTTTCCTGGTTTATCTGGATTTGACCAAGCTCCTCCACAGATGCATATTGACTTTTGTAACTTAGTCTGTGTAACAAATTAAGACAATTAATTCAAAGTGAACATAAGCTACCCCCTCCTAATTTTGAGAGTATGGTGCCAGGAAATAATAGTTAAACAATACAGACTGGAGGAATAACAATTCTGTGTCACAACTAAGTTGCGGACATTAAAATAGCTTGCCGAAGCTAATAAATGGTAGGAAATAATTTGTAATGTGCTGCAGGCAAAAATATCATTTAATGATTTTGATTATAACTCGGTGGTTTATGTGAAGGCCTGGTCTCCAATCCATGTGCTATCAACCCTGCTGTGAGTATCATTTTACTGAGACAAGATTTTATTTATTGGAAGCATCCTGTTATGATTGACTTCACAATCCTTGACTGATAGGATTGGCATAGCAGCTGCACTACAAGTATTCAAAACACTTCAAAGTATTTACTGCAGCCTTCTCACATTGCATTGCAACATTTATACAGAAAACGTGTGCTTAACCCACTTAAAAATGCTACTTGTTACATTTTTTTTTTTTTTTTCTTGAATTCTACTATTCCACCAGCAAACTAGCAAAAGTACAATGAAAAAAATATTTTAAAGACTTTATTATTATATCTATTATGATTTTGTTATATCTTTATCATTTCCCACCAAACAAGTGGATACTGATTATGAAAGAATGAGAAACTCAAACAAGAAATAAGACAATGATTGACATTGCATTTGAATTTTCCAAGATCAAAATTGGTTGATGCCAAGTCAGGAACAATAAAGATTCATTCAATTTTATCAAGAATCACTAGCTACACAGAAACACCAGACCTGAAGTGACAGCAATATTTAATGCATGATGAAATGATAGACTTATAAACATGTAAGAATTAGGAGCTACACATGTTTGAGTAGACCTGAAATAATGTAAACTTGTCAAGGTTTTTGAAGAGTTTTCAATACTCTTTATTGGATTTTGAACATGTCCCATTTATGTAGAAAATTTTTTTTAAACTAGATACCTCCACACGCACACAAAAAATGAAATCCTGAAACTTTTTATATTAATTTTTGATTTCAAGCTAATAAATTAAATTTAATATTTCCAATAGACAAAATAAACTTAATTTAAATTGACTGGAAGGATTTTCTTTTCATAGATATTAACTTTAAAGCCTTGCAGAAATATTTCTTTTATTTTAAATAAAATTTAACAGTGTTTGTGTTTCACTATGTGGTGACAGGTATAATATAATGTTCTGCGGAGACTTTATTCGTGAAACATAATTTAAGAAAATGACATGAGCACTTTTTTTCAATTCAGAGCAGATTTTCAGTAAATGATGTTTTTTGTTTGATTTAAATTCTCCAAGGAGTTCTGCTTTTAATTAATAAATACAAAGACACTGAAATTTTAATTTCTTGAAATTTTCATAAAATTAAGGTTTAAAAAAAAAAAAAAAAAATTTTACCAAGATTTTCTAAAATATTTAAAAAATAATTTCATTCATTTATGAATGAATAAGGCCTGAAAACTTCATTAAAATCCAAATCCAACAATTACTTTTTTGCAAGTATTTCCAAAACAAAGTTTTTTACCACGGGGTAAGAAGCTAAATTTCCCATAAAATCTTTGGCCCATTGCTGTTGCAAGAAAAAATGTTTAACCAAAATTTAATACCTGCTCGAAAGGATTAAAAAAATCTAATAAAATAATCAAAAATAGTTTGGTCTTTCCTTTTAATATTAACATACATTTTGATGATAAAACTTTGTTTTTTATCAAGTTTGGATCCTTTTTCATCATGCTATTTTCTTTTTAAGAAAGTTTTGAAAGATACCTATTTTAGACCACACAGCGTTGAAGGAATTCATGACAAACAAAAGCTCAGTTACCCTTACAAAGGAAAGCACATTTCTTGCTAAGATCTTCCAGAGGCCATCTCTGCTAATGTGCAATTATGATCTGTTGCAGTGTCAAATATCGACCCTTATAATCACTGGCACCAAATACCAATGCGGATATGGGTCTTTTCATCTGTTCTCTATTGTCGCCCATTTCTAGATGCAGTTGTATAGTGTTGTGTACACACCAGGATGGGATGATAGATGAATTTTGTACATTCTAGTAGGCTGTGATTATCTCAAAAGGATTATAGGTAGAAAGGTAAATGCTGTAAAAACTGCCAACAATTTAACACCATAGGATGTTAAAGGATACAACCATTTGCTTTGAATTTTTTTTTTTTTTTTTACTAGCATTCAGAAAGTTAATACCAGGGTTTAAATGCTGTGTCTGTGTGTTGGAGATTCTTTCAGCTTGAAAGAGAGAAAAAGACTGCATTCTCTCTGGGTGTAGTGAACAACACGGGCACAAGCTAAGCAAACTGCAGGCTCTGACTTGTATGCATATTTGTCCGAGGGG